TCATGATGCTGATGATGATGCTGATGATGATGATGCTGATGATGATGATGATGATGTTGATGATGATGATGATGCTGATGATGATGATGATGCTGCTGATGATGATGATGCTGATGCTGATGATGATGATGATGATGATGATGATGATGATGATGATGATGATGATGATGATGATGATGATGATGATGATGATGATGATGATGATGATGATGATGATGATGATAAGAGGATGAGGAGAGAAGGAGTAGGAGGCGGAGGAGGAGGATGAGGAGGGGAAGGGGGAGGCGGATGGGAGGGGGAGGGGGAGGGGAGGAGGCGAGGAGGAGGAGGAGGAGGAAAGGAGGAAAGGAGGAGGAAAGGAGGAGGAGGAAGAGGAGGCCGAGCCAGAGGAGGCGGACGAGGAGGAGGAGGAGGAGGAGGAGCAGGACCAGTGTCAACCCAAGAGTCGAGGATGATGATGACGATGCTGATGATGACGATGATGTTGATGATGCTGCTGCTGATGATGTTGATGATGATGATGATGAGAAGGAGGAGGAGGAAGAGGAGGAGGAGGAGGACGGGGTCGAGGAGGATGAGGAGGAGGAGGTGGAGGGTGTGAAATATGGGGAGGACGAGGAAGGGGAAGAGGAGGAGGATGAGGAGGATGATCACTTTTCTGGATTTCGTCTTGTTAAAGACGAAAACATATTTTCTGACATGCTGTTCGGTGTCGTGGCGGGGTCGTTGTCTTCTTTGTCTGTCGTCGTTCTCCTCCCTTCCTGTCACCCCCTCCTCCTTTCTTGGGTCCTCCTGGGGGCCTCTTGAGGGGAGGATCTTGCGTCTTGGGGCATCCCAGGGCCTCCAATGGACGTCTTGGAGGCCTCTCGGGGTCTCCCAGGGGCTCCCTGCGCAGTATCAGGGCACTCTTGGGCCGTCTGGTCTTGTGACTCCATCTGGGAGGCCTCTATTGGCTCTTGCGGCCCTTTGGGCCCGTCTTGGGCGTCTCTTGGTCCGTTGGGCCGTCTTAGGGACGTCTTGGGGGCTTCTTGGGCCGTTTTGGGGCCGTCTTGGAGGCCTCTTGGGCCATCATGGGGCCCTCTGATGCCATCTTAGGGCCTTCTTGGGCCAGGTTGAGCCCGTCTTGGAGGCCTCTGAAGCCGTCTTGGGCCGACGGAAATCAGAAAAGGCGAGAACGCTAAACTCAGTCAACGACGTATGGGATACTGCTCCGATCCGAAAGTTTCCCTAATTTCGCCACCGTGCTCGCCGCGGCCATCTGGGGTGACGCGCGTGGGATAAGACTCGCGGGGCCCGAGGGCGGATGGGGGCGATGTCGCGAGGGCAGAGTCGGCGCGCCGATGCGCAGCCCAGCACCCCGTTTGGCCGGAGAAGCCCAGTACAATGCAAGAGCAGAGCCTAACTTCCGCCCGGGGTCGCGGGACCGGGTTCCCCTTCCCAATTTAAATTGAAAATCCCAAGCGGTGTGCTGACCCGAAAATGAGCAAACGGCATAGGACTTCCTCGAAAAAGGCTTTCGGGTTCGGTCATACAACGACCCGAAATGTTTAGCGGCCGACCTGAAAGTGGCCAAACCTCATAGGATTTGTGCCGAGAACAATTTCGGGTCCTCTTCGAACGACCCGAACATGTGCAAACCGCCTAGGATTCCTTGCAAAAACATCGTTCTCGAGGTCTTCGGGCCCATTCCGAAGAAACCGAGCATGGGCAAACCGCTTAGAACTTCCGATCAAAAACGGTTTCTCGGTGTGGTCCCGGGCCTCGTCCGAAGGAGCCGCCGGTGGGCAGACCGCTCAGGATTTCCTGCGCAAGAAACGGTTTCCCGGGTGAGCCATTGTCAGCGGGAACGCGCCCCGCGCAGGATCGGGGTTCGCACGGGGGCGCGGCTGCTCTCGCCTGTCCAGGGGGCATGCATTGCCGCGCCCTTCCAGCATAGCGTTTGCGCTGCATTCGCGCGGCGCCGTGCCTTTCAAATCGGAATAAATTTTCGGAGCGCCGATGTATGCATGGTTTTGGCTGGAGGTCTTCTTTCATCCCTCTTTGCCTGTACCGTGGGCCTGTTCCGCCGTCCTGGGGCCATCGGGAGGCCATCTGGAGCCATTCTGGGATGTCTTGGGGGCATCTGTGGCCATCTTGGAGGCACCTTTGACCATCGGCCTTGCTGGCTGTCCTGGAAGCTTCGGAGAGCCCTGGAGAACGCCATGGAGGCGTCAGGCCGCCTAGGGGGCCTCGAGGGAGGGGGGGGATGCATGCCAGGAAGTGCTAGGAGAGGATGGGGGTCCCATAACAGCACTACAGACACCTTGCCCAGATGGAATTGGGCATTATGCCACGCAGGAGCGTGCTGGGGGCACGGTGAGGGACCTCCCGTCACGACTGCTCCAGGAAGTCGGGAACACATGACGTGGCCTGATGGGCTTGCTTTCCACCACCACCACCATAAGCTGGAGGGAGGAAGGAGGAGGAGGAGGAGGAGAGGAGGAGGAGGAGGAGGAGGAGGAGGAGGAGGAGGAGGAGGAGGAGGAGGAGGAGGAGGACGAGGAGGAGGGGGAGGAGGGGGGAGGGAGGGGGAGGGGAGAGGAGGAGGGGAGGAGGAGGAGGAGGAGGAGGAGGATGAGGAGGAGGAGGAGAAGGAGGAGGAGGAGGAGGAGGAGGAAGAGGAGGAGGAGCAGGAGCAGGAGCAGGGTCAGGAGGAGGAGGAGGAGGAGGAGGAGGTGGTGGAGGAGGGGGAGGAGGAGGAGGAGGGCCCCTCACTCTCCTACCTATGGTGGTGGTGGTGGTGGTGGTGGAAAACAGGCCCATTATGGCCAGCCTGGACGAGAGCTGGGTACACATGAGCCCCACGTCATTCCTTCGCTCGGCTCCTCGTCTGGCCAGGCACGCCACGCATTCGCATGCTTTCGGCGGGGGTGGGGCGAGGGGGTGACCTTCTAAGAAAGCGCGGCTTTTTCTAGAAGGTACCAGGGGCTTCTAGGATTAAGTCGGGCGTGTCCCTCTACAGGGAATCTCCAACAATAGGAACATAATAGTATGATAACGATTCTCGATTCTGTTTGATTATTTAATCGCTTCGCTCACTCCGCCGGCCCATCTTGTCTCGCCGCTGTCGTTTGTCGGGGTGTTGTTGTCAATGCGGTGTGGTTGGGCGGCTGCCATTTTTCGGAGGCGGTGGGTGGCGAGTCAGATGCCTCACGGATGTTGGTTGGGCTCTCGTGGTTGTCCTCTCAGGGGCTTTTTGGGAGGCAGTTTCGAGGCCTCTTGGGGGCCGTGTTGGGGCCTCTTGGGGCCTCTTGGGGGCCTCTTGGGGCTTCTTGAGGCGCCTCTTGGGGGCCTCTTGGGGCCTCTTGGGGGCCTCTTGGGGCCTCCTGGGGGCCTCTTGGAACTGAAGGCTGGACTTTTCGGTTCCTTGTCACCTTCTTGGGCCCCTCTTAGGGCCGTTTTGGGGCTCTCTTGGGCCGTCTTGGGCGTCTGTTGGGCTGTCTTGGGGCCATCTTGGGCCGTCTTGGGGCTGTCTCGGGGTCCTCTTGGACTCTCTTGGGGCGATCTTGGGAGCCTCTGAGGCCATCTTGGAGCGTTGGGAAGCCGAAAAAAGAGAAACCCGAACATGTGTCCAAAACCAAAGGAAAATCAATTAATTTTGCCTCTTGGGGCCCTCTTGGGAGTGCTTTTGGAGGCCTTTGGGGGAGTCTGGAGGCCATGGTGGGCGTCTTGGACCGGAGCGATCTTGTGGCATCGTCGGCCGATCTTTCGACGACTCCAAGGGCTCTTGGACCGTCTGGGCGCTCTCTTGAGGCCGTCTTGGGCGCCTCTTGGGCCGTCTGGGGGGCCTCCGGCATCTCTGGCAGGCACTTGCGAGACTTTGGCGGGGTATTTGTCGCGTCGGGGCCCCCAGGGGCCGCCTCGCGCGCGATTTTGTTATATTGTTATCTTGTTACCGGAGATCTTAACACGCCTCTGGCCCGTTGGGCCGGCGAATTTAAGAGTATTGGGTATTTTTTACACGCCCGACTTGATTCTAGGAAGGGATGGGAGGTTTCTAGTAATCTTCTTGCATGACGAAGGCAACCCCCGTCGTCCCACCCTTTCTGCGCCCCCCCGCACGTGTATCCCACGCGCGGTCCCGCATGCTTCGCATCTTGCTTCCAGCTTCTGTGTTTCCTAGCCATCTCGGGACCCCTCGCCTGGCACAGCGACCAGGCGATGCTGGGCCCTGGCAGGGGGTCGCTTGCGTCCCATGATCCTACCCTTCTCCTCTCGGCAGGGCCACCCTGGGGTTCATCACCACTGAGCTGATCCCCCAAACAGGTGACCGCTGCGATATTCCGCATGATACAGACAGTACCGAGGATGATCTTCCTTGAAGGGGGGTCAGCCTTGACGGGACGTAAGGTGAGCCCGTTAATCTGTTGGCCCCATTCCTGCCGCATGCCCGTGGTGCTCGCGTATTCGATACATGATCAGAGGACACATATGGATGAGAAGCCCGTAGCGGAAGGCAAGATCCGAGGGACAGTGCTTGAGAGGCCAGACAGTATTTCTGAGACCAATATTTGGGAATAGTTTTCTCGCAATCGCCAGAATACGCATAGGACGCTGTGATGAGCGGGTGATTGATTCGCCTTGTCACTGGATATAGTTTACAGGCAACCTGCAGAATGCGTCGTCATCTGAAATAGACAGTTGTATGTTTGCGCCACGCTCACACTGTAATGCGCTAGTCTGTTTGCCTTGGGGGACGGAAGTCGACCACTGGGAGGGTTTGTTGACCAACGGCTTGACGAATCTAATTTTGGTAAGAGTAATGAATTGCGAGGCTTCCGAATTAATTTATTGTGCGTGTAAGGAGTTTCGGAGTTGTTTTTTTTGGGAGTTGTTGAGGCGAATGTCATGTTAATGAAAAGATTTGCACAGGGAGTGCGGGAGGAGAAATGACGGGATGCTGCATTGTCTATTTTGTCGGTATCCTAGGATATAGCGCAATGTATCGCCGTATTGCAGAAGGTATTGCGGGGTGCTGCAAGATGATATCCAGAATTTCGCCATGCAGCATGCGACACTCAGTGCTGTTTGTCCAATATTGGGAACGCGCGTGCGTCGTAATCTGCATGTGTTGCAGCTCCACTGTGCACCCAATCTCACTGAGCTTCCATGCCACGCGCGATGCGGCACTGCAGCCGCATAGTGGGTCATACTCGATTCGCTCTGTTTCTGAATTTTCCTGCGTAGCCAGCTGGGCTCAAGCCTGGCGCCGAAGCAACTTCCGCATGCCTGTAGTACAAGTGGCTTGTCACGTGCCAAGGTTTTCAACATTTAATGGCTGAAGTGTCGCGCTGGTGGATTGCTCCAGCATTCATTGTGGCCATCGTCGTCCTGGTGTCGTTGGACGTAGCTTTTGGAGTTCATGCGCAAATATTGAATGTGGTCATACCATGTGTTGTATATTTTCAGAGCAGGACGCCGATGGCTTGCTTGAGTTATATGGCCTTATATGTTGCTGTAAGCCTTTCGTGCGTACCCCTGACGCCTTTCGAGATTTTGACTGGATTCTGCTTTGGCATACCGCTTGGTATCATCCTCGACATCACTGGACGTGTAACAGGAGCAGCTTTGTCATTCCTTGCAGCGCGTGCGCTCTCGCATAGTGGAGTTGATTGTCCTTGCGTGACGGGTGAAGCAGTGATGGCGGGGGTTGGAAAGGCTGTGGAAGAGCACGGTTTTCGTTTTCTGCTTCTTTTCAATTTGGCACCAATGCCAGTTGCAGTCAAGAACTATGGCCTCGGATTCGTTCCTGAGGTAAGATTGAGTTCATTCATTCTTGCGATCATGGTTGTCGAAGTTCCCATGGCGTCGATGTGGGCCTTCATAGGAAGTTCTGCCGCCTCAGAGGTCTCCGCCATGGACACCACTGCTGTTCATTCTGCAATTGTCAATGGTGGGCCTGGCCTGTATGTGAAGGTGCCCTTGCTTTGCGCCGGCGTCGTTTCAATGCTCCTCGTGCTGCGCATGATTCACAAGAAGGTTGCCGTCGAATTGGAGAAGGTAAAGCAATGCGTAATAGACGATCGTGAGTGGCACCAGGTGTAGGGTGCTACGTTTGCGGCTGCACTGCTTCGGGCGGTTGTCAGATTGGCACACAGCGCTGCCCTGGCGCGAGAGGAAAGCACGAGCCATTAAAGCCGTCGTGGAGTTGCGCAGATCGATTGCTACAGGGGTGGGATTCTGTGAAGAGGCCTGCAGGAATGCGAAACACCAGAGGTGCGGCTTGAGAGAATCGACCAAATCGATTCGAGTCGGACGGCGGAGGGCCTCCCACTGGCAAGCCGATTTCGATTCGCCCCGTGCGTGCGGGCGAGGTGAAGCCGCGCGAGTGCGAGAGAGACCTTCCCTTAGCTTGGGGCGCGTGCGCCCGATGGTCCCCGCGTGCCGGCCGTCCTGGGGATGCCGTGCAGCTCGTTGTTGTCCCCAGGTCGTCCTGTGGTTGTCCCGTGCTATTTTCTCGCGGTTGTCCCGTGTGGTTTTAAGTCGGGCGGGTCCCTCTACAGGGGGAATTCCCAAGAATAGTTAAATAATAGTTTGGGGACTATTTCTCTTTTAACTATTTTTGTTGAGTTTTTGTTGTTGTTAGTTTGCTTATTTTTTTCACCCCAGCCTAAGTGTGGTTGTCCAGCGGCGGTCCCGTTGTCGTCCGAGCGGCTGCGTCGTGCGGTTTTCTTATTCGGCTGTCCCGCCTGTGCGCTCGTCTTATCTGCTCGTCCTGGTCGCTCTCTGACGCGAAGCCACCGCAAACCTACAGTTGTACTCCTTCCGCCCCAACCATCATCCGAAGGGTGATTCGATAGGTAGCTTTACTCACGATAGGTACGGCATTCCGCCGGCCCACAGAAGTCGAGAAGTCAGCCGAAGTCGTCATGTCGAGTTATGAGCTGCAGTGAATGTGCTCGGGGTGGCTCTCCGAGGGCCGTGGATTCTCTTGGAGGCTTTTTGGAGAACTTTGGGGCTTTGTCGGGGCCCTCTGGCGGGCCTTGTGGGCCCTATCAGGAACACCTTGGAAGACATCGATCAAAAAGGGTGTGGTGCTTAATCTGCGAGGAGCCCCTTGCTTGGGGGCTTTCGGGTCCGTCTTAAAGCGCTTTCGGGCCTATGTTGGAGCCCATTGTAGACCTCAGAGACCCACTGGAAAAGGATCAGCTGCATGTTTTGTAGTTTTGTCTTATTCATAAGTTAGGTGACTATTCGTATTCTTCTTCGTACTATTATTCCAATTCTTTTGCTTTCATTGCCACTATCTTACTATCGCAATGCACCTTGTTACGTTTCTAAAGTTGTAGATTTATGAGCATGTTATACTACACGTGCATGCATGTACGTATGTATTTGCGTGTATGTATATGTGAAATTTTCGCTCCGTTGGGGTATCCTTGGGAGATCCCCGTGATCACTTGACGTCCTTTTTGGGCTCGTTGGCCTTGTAGGCGCTCTTCTGGAGCTATATTGGAAGGCATCTCTGGGCATCATGGAGGCGTCCGAGAGTGGATTTGGAGGCGCTGAGGGACCATAATGTGCGTTGAAGAGCTCGCACCCCCCCCCCACAGCCAATCATCTCATACGCCTTCTCACCCCTGGCAAGCGGAGGGCGGAAGATTATCTTGTTGAGGAGGCCGGAACTGTTGCAGAAGCAAGATCAGTTTTTTTGGTTGCTTGCATGTTGCGCTGCTCTTTATATTGATCACCACTTTTGGGTAATCAGGGTTGAAATGTCCTTGTGTTGTATGTGCGTCACTTCGCATGGTTGTTGCGTTGGAGTCGTGGGGCGGTCTATAGGGTCTTCGGGCCGCTTGGAGTGTGTGGAAATCTTGCAGGATCTTCAGATCGTCTTGTGCTTTCATTGGGCCGCCCTGGAAGCTGTCCTGGTGTGGTTTGCTGTTTGCCAGTGTGTACCCCCAAACAGTTAGTTTGGTTGCCCTGGGGAGGTGCAAGCCATGCTGCGGAAGCTGTGTGGTGTAAGCCATGTGGTGTAGGTTTCGTGGCGCACTCCATGTGGTGCAAGATCTGTGATGCGAAGCCACGGTGGGGGTGTTCGTTCAGGATTGTGTCAGGGGGCTTCAGACCCTGTATGGTTCCTTATCTGACGAGGTTGGCGGTGCGCCAAGCCTCAATTGGCCTTCCACCGGCTTCCAGGCCCTGGACTCCTTGTCCAAGGGTTCTTTATCCAATGCCCTCGCCGTGTGTGATGCAGGCTATGTGGTGCAACTTGTGTTGTGCAATGCTGGTGGTGCACGGCATGCGGTGGAAGCTTTGTGGTGCAGGCTTCGCAATGCAGCCAGCGCTTGGGGCGCCCACGAGGGCGCGCGCGAACCGGGCGGCCGCGGGCGGCGGCCGGGCGAAAACCTGGAAGCCATGCCAGCGCAAGGGGCGCCCACAACGCTCGGGCGGGTCGCAATGGGCGGTGACCTACACAAGGGGGTGAAGAAAACACAGCCCTTTTCAGGGGCCCTGAAGGGGCCCTTTCGAGGGCCCTTTTCTCAAGGGAGGGAAAACCACCTGGACCCGATAATCGGCGTTTGCTACATGGCCCTGGGCGTTTGCCGAACAGCCCTGCCCTGCCGATTCCTGCTGTGGGTGCGTTCACCAAACAGCTTCCCGCGTCGGGGCGATGATGATGAGGTTGGATTTTCTGCTCTCTAATTTCTTCACCCCCCACTGAGGTCACCCCCCACTTGCCACCCGCCCGAGATGATGGGCAAATTTTCCACCACCGCTACCATATGTAGGACGGGGTAGAAGGGAGGATGAGGAGGTCCTCCTCCTCCTCCTCCTCCTCCTCCTTCTCCTCCTCCTCCTCCTCCTCTTCCTCCCTCGCTTTCATATGGTAGTGGTGGTGGAAAATGGGCCCATCACGAGAGGCGCCCACGGGCGGCCCGCTGGCGACACCCGGAGCTGCCGGCCAGCGCAGATGGGCGCCCACGAGGAGCCCCAGGGGCGGCCCCCGAGGGACAGGCCTGGAAGCGCCTGCCAAGCGTCTGGGCCAAGTAAGTAGCTCAGACCCCCCTCGAGTCATGACAAAATCACGAAGGGAGTTTTTTTGTTGTTTTTTTTGGGGGGGGGAATGTTTTCTCGATTTTCCACGACGGGACCGTCAAAAAACGGCTCGGGACGGAAAACCCGTCCCGGGGAACGGGTCGAGATCTCTGGGGGTCGACGTTACAAAGAAATCATGGCGTCCGGGGTCTGGGAAGACCGTGCGGTCACGGTTTGGGGGTGGCATAGCACTCTTGACCGTCTTGCGGTGACCTTCGTCCTTCTCGGGGCCATTTTTGGCCTCTTGGTTTTTGGGCCGTTCCTTCGCTCCAGGTCGTTGGAACCTATCCGTGGTCGAGGCTCGCCGTGGCCAGAAAAGCCCCTTCGTTGCTTACTCAGCGTCCCGTGTGATAGCACGATCGCTGTAGGACTGGTCGGATCACAACGACTGATCCTGGAGGGGTCTGAATTGGATTACTCCCAGGTTCGAGGTGCCCCCAGCTTTTCGCGCCATTTTGGAGCCCATGGGGCCCTCTGTGCCTCGCGAGGGGTGCTCTGGAGGCCTGGGGGCCTCCTTTGAAATCCTGGAGGCAGCTTGGACCATGGGCACTTCCAGCAGCACCCCTCTCTGGGGGTGACGTGTCGCTCGGGTGGGTCCACGGGATGTCGGGGCCGCCTCTCACGTGTCGCCCCCCTCCAGGGCAACGCGCTAAGGTGGATAGGCTCAGGCCTCCTCCTCCTCCTCGTCCTCGTCCTCGTCCTCTTCCTCTCCTTCCTAGTCCGCCTTTCCCTCCTCCCTCCTCTCTCCTCCCTCCTCCCTCCTCCCCCTCTCCATCCTCCTCCTCCTCCTCTTCCTCCTCCTTCTCCTCCTCCTTCTTCTCCTCCTCCTCCTCCTCCTCCTCCTCCTCCTCCATCCTTCCCCTCTTGAGGTATGACGTCTTACGGGGGGTGCATCGACCCCCAATCCTCATCGATTGTCGATCGGGACCCGACGCGTCCCGCCTGGGAACGTGCGATTTTGCTTTTTCGGAGGCCCATCGTCGATCTATCGGCCAGTTGTTGCCTATTCCAGGTCGATGGTCCCCCAGTGAGCCAGTCACCCCCATCGTTGTCCGGTTGTAGGTGTGCGATCGTCGGGGCCACCATCTCAGTCTGTGCCCTGGGCAAGCTGCTGCACGTGCAATGGGCGGTTGTGTGGGGAGGGGGGTTGTCGCTGCTCGTGTGACCTCACCCTATCGATCCTCCTGCGCTCCGAAGCGGCGGGACAGGGCGCAAATTTGCCGAGATGTTGGAGCTTCCTGGCGACCTGGAGCTCTACGCTGACCTCAACGGTGCGTGTGCGCAGAAGCTTGGCTTCAGCAAGGAGACCGTGTGGGGGGCGTGCCTTTGCATGCGCAGTCACGGTGCCGGGTGCTCCGGTGCTTGAGGTACGCTCTTCTTTTAACTGCCCCGCCAGCGATGCGTTAGGGAGGAAAGCACAGGGCGGGCACTCTGGACAGGCGTGTGGGTCAGACCGTCCATGGAGGGGAGCCCTCTGAAAGGGCTGAAGCTTTGCACGTTCCCAGACATACGATGTCTCGAGGTTGAAATCGGGCATGTCCCTCTACAGGAGGAGTATCCAAACAGAGTCAGCAAATAGTGAGGGGACGGTTCTCTACTATTTTTGATTATGTTCGCTGAATTTGTTTCGACTATTTTTTCATTGTTCTTCCAGGGTCCGCCTGTAGAAAGACATGCCCGACCTGACTACAGTTTCTTGAAGCAGAGCCCCCGGAGGCCTGGACCCTTTCCCCTGGCTGGCTCTTTATCTCGACTCGTGGTCTGACGGTCCCAGGGTCTGGCGAGGGCCCCTGGAGGCCGAAAATGGCTCAAAGCCAGCCGTCGTGAGTTTCTCGAGACGTTGAAGGTCTGGGTCTCATGGCGCCAACTTCGCAGAGCGGATTTCGTTCGGAAAACGATAGTGTGGGCCCTGGGTGTCCGGGAGAATTTCGCTCCGGATTTCGAGGTGAATTTCGTGTGGATTTTTGTGGCCAAAAAACCCACGCGAAATTCATTTCGTTGGCAAAAATCCAGGCAGAAATCCACGCAGAAATCCGCTGCAGCACGTCTGCAAGGCCGGTACAATAATGGTCAGCCCACCGAGCCTCGGGGCGTTCTCCCCGGGCCTGGGGCCGCCGGAGCCCTCTCGCGGAGCGGCTCGGCCTGCGAACGATGCCGCGGAAGAACGGGGCCGACAGCCTGTAGGCCTCCTGGACGGGATCTGAGTTTCGGGTTGACCCAAAAGGGGGTCCAGCGACAAGGGGGTGGTGCAATGTATTTGGTGCAATAGACTTGTGGGGTTGCAATACATTTGGGGCGTGCAACACATTCTGGGGCGCAAATGTATTGCTGGATTTTCGCGTGCAACGCATGACTTGCATTACAATGCAATGCAATTCTCCAGCGCAATATATTTGCAATACAATTGCCCCAGATCTATTGCACCACCCCCTTTCAGCTGGACCCCCCTCTGGGTCACCCAAATTCTCGGCGAGGACCATCGAGGAGCCTTTTAGGCCATCTTGCGAACAAGTCCACGCCCGAAGCCGAAGCCTGCACGGGGAATGAACGTCCGAGCGATGGCGAGAGATGTGGTCGGAGCATCGCGCCGCATCGCCGATGCCTCGCCGATGCAGCTCGATGCGGATACGATTTTCTCTGCGCTGGGGTCGCCGAAGCAGCACCGACGTCGCCGATCCATCGCCGATGCATCGGCGATCCGGCGCGATCCTCGCACCCCACCTGCTCGGACCCCATCTAGGAGGCCCCGAGGCAGGGCTCCAGCTGCGATGCACCACGGTGCTGCAACTCTCCCGAGGCGCCAGGTCTCAGGGCTCGCCACTCTCCAGGCATCCGACGACCTGTTTGTTTTCTATGCGCGGCCCCAGAGGTGCCGACCCTGTCCCCAGGGCCACTTTTCCGCCCCATGATGCTTGTGGATGGTCTCGGGGCCTTGTGACTTACCGGCTAACATAGGTCATGGTAATGAATGAACGCGCATTCTTAAAACAAATTATTGAAAAAAGCGATGGTTTACTAACGCGAGAAAAGGATGTATAAAATTGCGACGCCAAATCAAAACAAGACAAAACATCGTTTTGTAAACACAGAAGCAGGTTTTGCGATATTCCTAATCGGATGTTCTAAATCCAGGGCCGTTTTTCTAAATCCCAGATCCTATCATTACCATGACCTGGGTGGAGGAGGCCACATTGGGGAAAAGCCCGCCGGTTGGAAGAATCATATCGTCGGAGATCTCTGGGGACGCCACAGGCCCAGGCCCCCGATGGGGGCCCCCGGAGGCCGAGAACGGCCAAAACAACCTTCCGCCTGGAGTTTCTCGAGACGTTCGAGGTCTGGGGCGATCTCCGAGCATTTTCTGTGGGTGGAGGGCAAAGGGTGAAATCTGAAATGCCGTTTCGATGGATTTTCGAGGGAATCTGCAAAAAGGTGAATCACAAGACGTATTTCTCTTCGAGGTGTAAAAGCCCATGTGCATTTCACCCTGAGCCCTCCACCCTAAGAAAATGCTCAGGATCTGGGGACGCCACAGGGTTTGCCCCTCCTCTTCTGCCACGCGCAGAGGGGGTAGAGGGGAGGGGGGAAGGCTCCTTAGAAGCATCCTGCGTTCTCAGAACGTGTGGGCCTTATCTATAGATATAGGGCCGGCGCCTTGTCAGAAGCAGCCTCCTTCTAAAAAGCCTTCCTCCCTCCTCCTTTTCCCCTTTCCAGACCCCCGACGTCATGAGTTCTTCATAACGTCGACCCCTGGAGGTTTCGACCCATTCCCCGGGACCGGTTTTTCGTCCCCCAGTCGTTTTTTGAGGGTCCCGAGGCCCAGAAAAGGGCCCTCAGAGGCAGAACAAATTAGTGAAACGCTTCCCCTCGTGATTTTTTCGTGACTCCAGGGAGTATGGGTTGTGCGCGCCGCCAACCTCCTCTCGAGTGGCTCGACCCGTCCCAGGCACGCCTGGCTTTATTTCGGGCGTGTCCCTTTGCAGGAGGAATAGTCGAAAATAATCCAAACATTGTCTGGGACGTTTATATTTATATTTGGTAGTCCCCCCACATGATCATACATGTTCCTCCTCATCTGTCATCATACCTCTCCCTGCTTCTCTGCTTCTTCCTCTTTTTCCTCTCTCTTCTTTCTCCTCCCCCTGCTCTCCCCTCTCCTCCCCCTCCTCCTCCTCCTCCTCCTCCTCCTCCTCCTCCTCCTCCTCCTCCTCCTCCCTCTTCCTGCTCCTCCGACTCCAGCGGGACAGGTCTTCCTTCCGCGAGGAGGAAGAGGAAGACGCCATTGAGAACCCCCCAAAACACAATGAACAACAAAACAAACCGAAGAAACCAAAGCCTTAAGACTGGGAGACCCCAGCACGCACATGGAACAAAAACACAAAAAAACAAACAAAAACAAATATTTCAATACTTACGCCACCCCCGCCGCCGTATTCGAGAAAGCCTCCCAATCATTTTTTTTTAGTTTTGTCCATCTGTTTTTGGAGTTTTCCAGTCTTAAGGCTTTGGTTTCTTTGTTTTTTCTGTTTATATGTTTTTTTTTTTGTTTTTCAATGTCGCGCTGGCCTGGGGCACATCTCAATGCACCCGACGCTTGTTTTTTAGGGACTTGAGCAGAAGTGGCGAGCATGCTCAAATCATGGGTGCTCATAAAGCGCGCAGACGGCTCTTCTGGGGCACATCCTGGGCCCGAGCCGACAGCGCGCCTGTGGGCGCGGGCGCGCGCAGCCGCCCGTTCACTGGAAGCAGAGGAAAGACGCGGCGGCCTCCTCCTCCCCTGCAGATGGCATTTGAGGAGGCGCAACCACGCCGCTCTCGCCCAAGACCTGCGAGAGATCCACCTCCAGCTCGCCGCGGGCTGGGGCAGCAGCCGCAGATGCCGAAGACGCCCCAGTGGCCTGCCGCTGCGCTGGGGACGGGGAGCTGTCGATGTCGATCGTGCCAGACAATGCAGCCAAGCTCCTGAACCTCCGTGTCTCTGGAGACTGGGGCTCTTCCTTCACGGCGATCTGCGCGCGCGCCAAGCAGCCGTCGCCGTGGCTCTGGCCCTGAAGGCGTTCTCCACAATGGTCTGCTCCTTCTGCAGCAGCGCGTCCTTGTTCGGCGGCGGCGTGAGGTCCCCCGCCTTGGACAGGCCGCAGAGTCGCTTGCCCTCCGTCGCCGAGTACTCGTCCAAGCTGCAGATCGACTTGCGCTGGACGTCGGCCTCCTCAGTCCCTGGGGCGCGCCAGTATGCGAGGGTCTTAGTGTTCACGAAGAAGCCCCCCCCGCTTCATGAATGTCATCACGCAATCGCGAGTAGCCTTCTCGTGAATGGCTGACCTGACGAGGTTGAAGAATTCCTGGAACTTGACGGACGGCCAGCAGTCATTCTTCACTGCCTCGGGGTCGTACACCTGGTCTGCAATGGCGCGCGGCTCGCCCTTCACCCACTTGGTCGCCCCCCACCGCGCCCAGCACGTGGACTCGAACTGGCCGACGTCCAGCAAGGCCTTGACCGTTTTCGACGGCAACTGGTTGAGGGAACCATCATCCAAGAAATCGCCCATGGTGAGAGAACCAGGCTCCCCGCGCAGGAAGTCGATCTCGGGCGTTGCGCGGGCGCGCGCGGATTCGGGGTCCAACTCGTCGATGCGGGCGTGGCGGCGGCAGAGCGCGAAGAGGTGCGACCGCCCCATGGGCGTCTTTCCGAAATTCGGCTCGCCAATGAGCACGGGGGGCCCGAGCGGGTCCATGATTTCTGCTTTGACGTTGAGCGCCCACGGCTTGAAGTGTTCCTCCGTCAGGGTGATGTGCCACTCGGTCTCCTTCTTCGCGAGCGAACTCTCCGCTGCGAGCCCGCTCAGCGCTGCTGTCACCAAGGCAAAGGGCCCGCCGCGGAGGGGGGCGCCGTTGCGCAGCGCCTTCGTCTGCCAGATCAACTGCTTGAGGGCGGCCGTGCAGCGGCGCGTTCTTCAGGATGTACTCGAAGCCAGCGTTGATGGCGTCGTCCGACAACTCGTAGAACTTGTTCACTTTGGCATTCGTCTTGACGTCTGGCGACAAGAAAAACGCACGAAACTGCTTCCCGCCAAAGCGCTCCAGGGCGTATTGCCATACCTTGACCCCCCACCTTGCAGCGCCAAAAAAACGCAGCGAGGGCGCGGCGGCGACCGTGCCAGGTTGCCAGTTTCTTTAGGTGGTAGATAACTTGCCAAACGATGCCACCGCGCCCTCGCCATCTTTTTTTCGAGGCCTTGCGCCTTGGGGTGCTGGAAGCAGAGCTTCTTGACGCTGCCGAAAGCCATGCTGGCCAAGATGGCCGTCTTCGTCTTGTTGGGGATGGTGCAGTGCTTGATGATGGTCCTCGAGCCGTCGGGGCCGTCGAAG